TCTGTTGCTCTTTCAATAGCATTATTTATTTGTTTTCGTTTTCTCCTTTTTTTCTTTTGGCTTCAATAGTCCGCCAGGTCGAGCTTTCTCTGTTCCCTGCCGAGGTTTTGCCAGCTATTGTTTGGTGTCACGACCCCTTTTTTTCTTTGCTTCGCTTCCGAAACGTACGTTTGGTTCCGGCCTTTTTGGTACGTTGTGGTGCTTTCGAACGTTTTCGATGTACGTTTGTCTTAGAGTTGCGGACTGTAGGTGTTTCGTGACCTTTGTTGTCGCTCTCACGCTACCTACCGTGGTGATTGTTTGGCGTATCTTATCGTTTTGTCGATACAAGCCTTTTCCTCGTTCCGACGACGTTCTTGTTTTTCGTCGTTCCGACGATTTTCCTTTTTTTCGTCGTTGCGACGACCTTCCTGTTTTTCGTCGTTCCGACGACGTTCGTTCCTCTTCGTCGCTCCGGCGACGCTTATTTTCTTCGTTTCTTTCGTGTCCTCTTTTCCCCATTCTTTTGGGTTCCGACCTGTTATGGTATTTGTAGCCTTCGCCTGTTGCGGCTCTCCCGTTGGTTTCCTCTCTGTCAGCCCCAGTTTATTCCTTCCTGTACCTTCTTTTTTTTTTAGGTCAAACGATGGTCTTGCGACTCATCGAGTGAGAGGTGTGGGAGGGTGGATTGTGGTATTTTGGAGCTCCGCATCCTCGATACTTTCATTTGGGATTCGACAAGTAACTGTCAAGTTCCGAGATATGCGTATCTGCGTATGAGAACCTCCAGGGTGGGCTAGTGATGTGGGACTTGAATGTGTAGGAAAGTACCAACGGTAGTGCGGGCTAATGCCCAGAGGAAAGGTGCGAGAGATGTAACTCCCGATTCAAGGATAAAGCAGGGGACATGACCGACCTTTGTAGCCCCTGTTAGAGGGAGCTGGTCTGCCCCAACATGCTCAGTCTACCACAGAGAGCAAGGAATAAGCATGCACTGCTATCCAAGGAGATGAATCAACATGTATGTGAGTCTTCACCAGGGTCTTCAGGGATTGCTACGCGTGTCTATACCATTACAGTGGGACATTTATTTGAGGTTTACCGGAATGATACAAGGGACATTTATATGGAGTTCGATATGTGAGACATGATTATAGACCGGAATACGTTCAGTTCACAGCAATACTCCTACAACACACACATTATGAATGAATGTGATATGCACCCCTTAAAAAAAGGGGATAGATAGGTCGTAATCATCCCCCCCGGGGGATAACGGGGGATAGATCAGGATTGTTCCCAAATTTAACGAAGGAAAAATGACCCTTGTTTCAACGTGCTCGTATGGGGCAAGACTTACATATTTTGGTCAAATTATTTTGGTGATTTTTCTGCTGGCATTCGGGCCTTCTATTTCAACAACGTTTTTTTTTTTATATAGACTTTTTCAACTCGAAATGGGGCAAAGGAAAACCGAGCTGCCACTTTGGGCCAAGCAAAACCAGCGAAAAAATGATAAATAAATCGAAATAATATTTTGCTCTTATGCCGGGGCTCGAACCCGCGACCGATGAACTAACGTCTAGTCAGAGACATAGTTCGGCTCAGGTGATAGCAATCTACACCTTCCTGAGCAAGGTCCTGCGTGCACATCGTGCCGTCAACACCACCACACGCAAGCACACGGAATGGAGAGGGAGAAAGCCGAGAAAGCCTGTCAAGCAAAAATCCATAAAAATAAAACTTTTTTCACACCCCTCCCGGGGGTGGGGGAGGGGGTTAGGTGTCGGATTGATTTGAACGTTTTTTGTGCGCCCGTTAGACACACTTTCATTTCTATAGGTAAAATGTTATCTGCGCTTGTATCTTTGGTGGCCTCCCTACCCTCATGTTGGTCGCCGACACCCACCCGGACGTCGCCATGCATACTTCTGCCAAGGCGGACGTCGAGGGCACGCGGCGCCCGGACTCGGTACACTGACGACGCCTTCCACGAACGCATACACTATTTTGCGACGCGGGTCGCTGGCGCATGGGAGTGGCATTCAACTTGAGGTAGACTTTTCTCTCGCTCAACAAAAGTAGATGGCGGCGTCGAAAGGGCGACGTGCCTGACAGGCTACCTACCACGGAAGACGCTGTCGCTCATCTGTGACGTGGTTTTCATGTGAGACTGGGCGGGGGCTGAAAGAAGGCAACAGACCTGCGACTTGCTTTTTCTCGCTTAACAAAGTTCTCAGATATTTGAATATTTGTGCGAAAGTTGCACTTCAGTACCCGAAGCGTACACGAGTGTCGGAACACTCAGATCTTCAAGGTTAGTTTAAGTATGCCTCCCGCAGCCAGTCCTTCTTTTCTATTCGAACAGGGGCCGGTCCGACGAAAATGTTTCACAGAGGAATCGATTGCAGACGCGACTGGGTTGTATATTACCGCAACAACGTGTATTCGCGCATTTGGTTTAGGCTGTGATGAAAGCTATCGGTTTAATAAATGCCCACCAAGAGTCTAGTTGGTATCCCCGAAAACCTTCTGGTGGCCCAGAGGGCGAGGGGTTGGCATCCCGGCGTAAGCGAGCCGTTATTGCAAACTGAGTGCTTCTCGCGCTTCCGTTCCTGGCCTAGGTGGAAAGCGCTAGTTTGTGTGGGCACAGACGAAAGAAAGAGAGTGCTGCCCTCTTCTCGCATAAAAAATCGAGAGCAAAGTACCGCAGAGGAGGTGTGGTGTGGGTAGGGATCCCCAAGAAGAGGAGCCTTTCTGTGTGATCACGGGTTGGAGTGAACGGCACAATACAAGTGCTGTGAGGGCTGATTTCTGAAGTGAAGACAACAAAAAAAAAAGAGAGTAAACCCTCGTTCGTTTGTGCGTGAATTTGCGTGGTTGAGCGGCGTGGGCTAGAGAACACGACAAGGAGAGCCGAGAGGCACGGGCTTGAGCATCACTATGCTACGTGGAATACACACGGAAGACGCGCCAGCGGGCGTGTTCAGAGGCACATGCGTGCGATTTTCGGGGGGCGAGCGCACTGAACGATATTTGAACGCGAAAGAAACCCGTGTGTCGTTTTCGGCGCTGGAAGGGCGATCGAGACAACCGCAATCTCCCACTATGAATTTCTGTTTTGTTTCAATTGATATCCACGCAATCTATGCGCCTCGAGACTGCATGTACCCTAGTTCTACAAAATGGCTTTGCCAGTGCAAAACCTGCTGTTTCCCCCAAAACTCCTCTCGCTCACGGGATCGCCCTCTGCATTAAATAGTAGATCGCGCAGATGCTACACGACAATCGAAAGCAACCTCGTTAATACCCACCACTCAAGAGCGAACCCAGCGCATTTCATCTTTTTCGTCCCGTCAGTTTCAGTCCTCGAACGCAACGAGGCGATTTTGGTAGAGCGACCGCAACCCTCCCAGCACCTCCTCCCGTACCGCCTCTATCGCCAGCCCCTCCATGTCCTCCCCGTCAGGGCCGACGCCATCTTCCTCCCCACCGTAACCCCCCTCCTCTTCATCGTCTTCTTCTCGCCGGCTTAGTCGTTCTTCGACGACCTCCTCCATCATCTCCGCCAACGACAACGACCGATTTGCCAGCTCCAGTAGGTCCAGCTCCATCTCCCCCAACTCAATCCACTTCTCTTGCCCGTCGGTGGGCTGAACACGTGCACGAAGGATCTTAATCGCGTGGGTATACACGGGGAGGAGGGGTCGGGATCAAACGGTAATTAGTGTCCGCCTTAGATCGCATCGAAACTGGCGTCTGCCTGCAGCAGGGCTTTCCTTGGTAAACAGCGGCATTTGTCGGTGGTGCGTAGACTTTCGATGCCGCGCGCCAGGTTCTGTCTTTGATTTCGGCCGTCCCTCGTAGGTCGGGTCGTGCTGCAAGGATCGCCACCCAGCTTTATCACCGTTTTTATGTTCTGAGATACAACTTTCATCCTATCCCCATGAAGTGTGTAAACGCGGTACATGTTGTGGGATGCGACTCCCATCCCATCCCATCCTCGTAAAGGTGTAACGTGGTACATGTTCTGAGATACAACTTTCATCCTATCCCCATGAAGTGTGTAAACGCGGTACATGTTGTGGGATGCGACTCCCATCCCATCCCATCCTCGTAAAGGTGTAACGTGGTACATGTTCTGAGATACAACTTTCATCCTATCCCCATGAAGTGTGTAAACGCGGTACATGTTGTGGGATGCGACTCCCATCCCATCCCATCCTCGTAAAGGTGTAACGTGGTACATGTTCTGAGATACAACTTTCATCCTATCCCCATGAAGTGTGTAAACGCGGTACATGTTGTGGGATGCGACTCCCATCCCATCCCATCCCCGTTAAAGGTGTAACGTGGTACATGTTCTGGGAACGACTTCCCTCCTATCCCCATGAAGGTGAATTGCGGAATATGTTGTGGGATACGCCTTCCATCTTATCCCCATGAAGGTGTGACGCGGTGCATGTTCTGGGAGCGACTTCCATCCTATACCCATGAAGGTGTAGTGCGGTACATGTTGTGGGATACGGCTTCCATCCTATCCCCAAAAGGTGGACTGCTGTGGTATCCACCACTCCAACACTCTCTTGCATATTTTCTCCTTCGCTCTCCTCGCTTTCATGCACCTCCTGTCCCATCCCGTCCCATCCCGCCCTGTTGGTATTTGCAGCGTATCGCACGCGCAAAAATCCACCGGAATGACGGCGAAACAGAAAACTTGTCCGAACAAGAACATGCTGCGTCCTTCTCTTGGGGTGATACCTCCACAACCCCTTCCGTCTTAGCCTGCACACCCCGAAACAAGTCCTCAATCCACAGAAAGCGCCACCGCTCGAATGAGAGTTAAGAGCTCGAGGCTCCGAAAAACATCGAAACTGAAACAACTTGACCACAACAGCAGCAGGCGCTCAGTGTTTTTTTTTTAAGTCCCACACGAATACCTTTACGTCGCTCTTGGGTCACACACCACGAGCACTGGGCCAATCAGAGGAGTTCAACGGTGGCGTCTTCTGTAACCCATTTTAACCCCTAGATAAAGATCTCACCTCTCCGTCGCTGCTCTCGGTCACCTCCGACCGGAAGCCGACCGCCTGAACCGGCTTCATGCCGCTCCACGCCTCCTCTTCGTCAAGCTCCTCTTCTCCGTACTCGCCGCTATCCCGCGCCGCGTCCGGGGGGAAGGGCTTCGTCGTCAGGACGCGGTCGTGCAGCACCAGCATGGCGATGGCTCCCCCCGAGCCGTGTAGGGACCGGATCGCGTCTGTTACGTTAAGTGTTCGGGGTAGCGGGTGTGCCATAAAGTTGGTGTTTGTTGTTGCTGTTGCTGTTGTTGCAGCAGCACCGGGTGTGCCATAAAGTTGGTGTTGGTGGCGGTTGGTTGCTGCAATGTGTTGTTGTTGTTGTTGTTGTTGCCGCCTGCAATCAATCCATCCGTCGGCGGCCCGTCGTATCGAAAACCTAATCGGACGATACACATATGGTCTCGCGCGAGGTTCTCCTGTACGCGGATCAACACGCGTGCCCCTTTCCGGGAGACGCCCGAAAACATCCCCTGCTTCAGGAGAAAAACAAAATATGAGGGTAAATGGTATCGGAAATTTGTGGAACGGAAAGATGGGTCCAGTCCGGTTTGGCATTGATGACCTCGACCACCAAGTACAAAAACAAACACACTTAGTGGTAATCAACGACCTAAACAGGGGGGGGGGGGGGGG